AAAAAAAAAAAAAAAAAAAGAACAAAACAAAAAAAGCCCAAACACCGTATTTTCTTTAAATGAAAACCCTCTCAGAACACAGGCAGCAAGGCCATGGCAGTTTCAGCTGCATGGACAGAACTCACACTTCCCGGACTGCCCGGCACAACCGCCTGCAAGGAGCCTGCTCGGCACAGAAACGTGAAGTTTTTCCTGCTAAAACGTAGTCCCCTTTCAATAAAAGAGAAAAAGAAAGAAAAAGAACAGAGGAAAGGGCTACTCTGAGACGAGGGTCTTCCTCCCTCCGCCCCGGTCGCAGGCCCAGGTGTGGACGCGAGCGTGGCCTCCTGAGCGGCTGACGGCGCGGCGGCTCCGCGGGCCCACCCGCCGCGCTCCCGACTCCTTCTCCTCGCCGAGGGCCAGCGTGGGCGCTCGCTCCGTCTCGGGCTCCTCTCCCTCTCCTGTTGCTCACAGTGGTGCTTCAGTTTTAGCAGTGGAAAACAGGTATCCATTTATTTTTATTTTTTATTACCCAGAATAAGATGCTGATGGACTAAGCCACATAGCTTAGCTCTTCTGCCGCCACCTATATGAAGGGGAGGGGAGGTAGGGAAAGGAAGGGCAAGAGGCCATAGATAAGGATGGCAGATGCCTTACACCCCCATCTTAGAAAAACTGTGAGGGGGATCCCAGATCCCTAACTTCATACCAAGGAGGCCAATTCTGGTGCAGCTGTGGTCTTTCTCCCCAAGCAGCACCCATATCCCACTTTCCTTCATGGGAGCCACACCCACACACACTGCTCTGTCACTTCACACAGACAGGAAGGGGTCCCCATGCACCGAGGGACCAAGCACGTCCTACTCACTAACACCAGTGGCTACGGATCCCCTCATTCACCCCTTTCTCAGGAAGCTCTAAGACTCAGGAGAGGGCTGTGACAGGGAGGTTCATATACTCAGCCATTGTACATGAAGATGCAAGGACCCACAGTTCCCGGCACAGGCCAATCCCTCAGTTTCACGACTTTCCAGCTAGAAATGCCCTGGAGGACCCCTTACTTGCCTTCTAGTACTGGGACAGCCCCGTCACTCCACCATGCTGGTATGCCCGCTCTCCCTGGTATGTGGAGTCTTGTGACAGCGCCACGTCAATCTGGGACTTAAACTCATCACCAAGGTAGCTGTCCTAGAAGACAGGGCAGGAGATGGATACTCACAAGTCAGAGCATGCATCCTGAGAACCTGCTCATGCCCACTCTCTCACCAGCACAAGAACAATTTGGAATCCCAGTCTAATTGGCAGGGGACCCACACTGATTACCAAACCAGAGAGACACAAAACTGCCCCGAACAGTGTGGTGATGGAATGCTGTAGACCAAATGGATCTGTGTTAAGGAAGTGTTCATGCAGGAGGCTGTGCTAAGGTCTCTGGAGTATGGCAGCTGACTCACCTGGGATAACTCAGGCTGGGAGAGGCCTGGTTGGCTCATCTGCGAGGGCTGGCTCATGGAGATGTACCCTTGTGTGAGCGCTCCCTGTGAGAAGGGCTGAGATACCACGTCCTGGCTGGCCTGGCTGTTGGGCAGATTTGTCTGACTAGGCCCAGGAAGCCCAAAGCGGTTCTTCTGACGGCCCCCACGACCAGTCTTGCCTTTTGGGGTACCCCGGCCTGAAAGACAAATAGTTTAGGGCTCTGTGAAGGAGGGCTGAGCCTCCCAGATAGTCTGCTCAAAACCCTACGTGAACTCCAGGCAACACACTCTCCCAGTACCACATTGCTGGCACGCACCTGCAGCAGGCCCATTGGCTTGTCCAAAGTAGCCCGGTGGTGGCATAGGTGGCATCACCAGGTTGAATGGGATGGGAATGTTCATGGCAGCCACGTGGCTGGGGCCGGCACTGATCATGCCAATCTGGTCATGGGTTTGGAAGTACATGTTTGAAGGCCGGCCTGTAAGACAAGGTGGGCACGGGCATGTTACCTATCCCACTCCAACAAACCTGTCGCCAGCCCTCCATGAACTGGTCTACCCACACAGGCACATCTGTTGCACTTGTCAGTGCTTGGCCTGCCTACGTCTCTCGGTGCTAGTCCTACAGCAAAGTCACCTGCTACAGATCTGCAACTCTACCCCATTTCAACAGTCCCCCTGGCCTGCAGATATCTTACAAATAAAAAATCTCCACACTACACTTCCCATAACCAAAAAGGGGTCCTTTTATGGCACATTTTATATTCCCATTACACCCCAGCACGCAGCAAGAAGCCAGGCAATATATTAGCTCCAGAGAGCAACTAACTCTGGGAAGAGGCAAAGCTCCATGGTGGAGGGATGACCCAACCCACAGAGATGCCCCGGGGTTTGGGGAGCCAAGAGCTCTGGTGAGCCGTGGCCCTGGCGGCTGACCCTGTAAACCCAGGGAAGTCAGGCCCGAATAACTCAGCCACACACAGAATGAGAGCTGTTATTCTGGAACACAATCCTTGATCTGAGCCTGGAGCAAGAATGGGGGAGACCCGAGAGAGGGCTGGCCAAGGCATAAGGAAGTGAGTGCACCTGCCCTCAGGATGGAGCACAAGACAAAAGCCAAAGCATAATGTGGCATATGACAGGAGTTCCCTCTGAGGGGCTCAGGCCAGGGCCCAGGAGACAAAGGGGAAGCATGTATAGACTGCTGAGGCAGAAGGCAGTATCCAGACAGCAGAGCAAGCTAAGCCTTGGGGTAGAGACCTACAGGTAATCTGAGGTTAGGAAGCCAGTGACAGCGTCAGGAGAGCAGCTCCTGAAAAGCAGTGGTGAGGCTTCCTGAGGAGGGCGCGCAGGGCAAGCACAGGCTACAGGGTATAAAAAAAGATTTGACACCACTACAAGCAGAACTGCATTGAAACTATTTCTACAACTTATTTCTAGAAACAGAGACCAACTTGTTTTTTCAGAAAAAGAAATTGGGTACACTTGTCGCTAGGCTTTTTTTTTTTGTGAACAGACGCTGGGGAGGTCACCAGGAGTGACAAGCAGGATGCAGCAGGCATGGGAACAGTCAACATCCACGGGTGGCCAGGTCCCCCCCAGACACTCACCCTGGCTGCTGCGGTCATAGACTGAGCCTGGGATGATAGCCTCCCGGGCATCATACATGGCTGTTGTCATGAAGCGGGCTCCCTGCAGAGAGTTTGGGTAGGTGAGGAATTTACCACCTAGATGCAGAACTTTCCAAAGACCTAGTGGCTGCATGAAGGCCAGTTGACCCTCCCTCTCCACCACGGATGATGAAAAGTCCATCTCTGACATTGGTTCCGAACCGTGACACCCCCTAAGCCACCAAAGCACCAGGTTTCCAAAGTTTCCTAACTGCCATGTGTGACTTACTCCCAGACAGCAACTAAAAGCATCCGCGGTGCAAAGGTTCTGGGGGACAGGCCTGAACCACTGCTCCCGTGCACGCTGCATCCCCATGGCACTAGCTTGGGGAGTAAGGGGTCTTGGC